GTACTGAGGCTGAAAGAAGCTTCAGTGCTCTCAGAAGACTAAAATGATGGCTAAGGTCAACAATGACTCAAATGGGATTAAACAATGCTGCTGTGTGTCCACCAGCAGAGACTGGACAGTATAGATGGAAAACAAACATGCCAGCAGTTTATGTCAGTTAACGAGAGGAGAAGGCATGTGTGTGGCTCCTTCACATAGTGCACATTGAGTTGTGTGGGACACCAGTAGTCCATGTTGCTGTAACAGTAGTTCATGTTTAGAAAATCTCAGCTCACTGACTTGATCGGGGCAATAGTGCCTAAAATGTTGCATAATCTTGCTGAGAGATCTTTTACTTTGTGGTCATCTTAGAGGAGTAGTTTTATGGGCAAAAACCAGCAGGTCATTCAGTGTTCCCTTAGTGCTGATGTGTCAGAGATGTTGGTGCACTATAACTGAACTAATGTTGTTAAGTCCTTAAAGTCATATTCTTTTATTGTCATGACTGTATTTGAAGCTATTTTTATTTTTGTATGATACCTGATTTATATGGATTATGGCTGAAGTAATAAAGCCTGAAATACTTAGTCAGTCATTTGTTTAATAGTAATTTAACATTATATCATTCACATATAAAACTATGAATTGTGATTTTAAATGGTTTAAAAGCATGTAGAATAGCATATGTAGGCAAGTATATTTCTCCTTTTATCAAGAAGCAAAGACAAAAAGGGGAAAAAAAAGAAACAGGGCAGGGTTCGGTGGTTGAATCATCCGTCTGCACCAATGCCAAAACCAAATCTACGCCCTTGCCTGGTGTAATGTTTTTCAGCTAAAAAGAAACATGGTCTGACTCCTACCCAACTATATAAAGAGCAACTGAAGGTTAAATGCAGCTAATATGTCCTGTTTTAAGCCAGGCACTTACACCTCCACTCCCCTGCGTCTCAGCCACCATCGCTCTGGCAGCAGGAGCGCTAGAGCCAGAGCAGGGGGGAGCTGGAACAAACCATTTTGGGAGGGGGGAGGGGTTATCTATACTTTTGTTGTTAAAATGTTATGTCTCAACCAAGCACTGCATGCTTTTTATATTTTTAGCAGTGTGTCACACAAACAGCAAATATTGTCAAAAAAAGTAAGAAATCTTTGGGGGTGCTTTGATTCATTCAGCACCCCCGAAAATGGGCTAAAATCGCCCCTGCTCCAAACATTGTGGTGTCTCTACTGCTGCACTTGAACGTGTCCTCACCCACAGCATCTCATCATGATATAATAGTTGCAATAGGTCTGCAGTGGATAAGAAGGATTGCAAAAATTCAGCCATGGCAGTATAAAAGACAACTTTCATGCCTGAAAATGGGTCAGAGCTGAAAAGTTGTATTTTCGGGCTTTGAAAAGTATCATGTTGAAAATGAATCTTCCTTTAACAAACTGAACAATTTTCTGTTTATCAGAGGTGGAACAACCATTTGAATTGCACATGTCTGTCATGTGACCTCTGTTTTTGCCAGGTAGAAACGATGGAGTCTCTTATTCAGCTGCTTTCAGAGACACTGGGGAATCTGAGTGATAGCGAGCTCATGGACTTAAAGAAAGGCCTCAAGAGGAAATATAACTCAACCGTCCCATGGAGGTTGCTGAAGGTGGCAGACACAGTGTTTTTAATGTTACAGGCTTATGGCCAACAGTCAGTAAAGAAAACCATGGAGGTTTTAAAGGAGATGATGATGACGGATCTGACTCAGCAGCTGTCAGACAGCAGCTCAGAGCCAACAAGTAAGTAAATAGTTAAAAATACCAAAACTTGTTCTCAACATATTCCCTCATCCTCTCTGTGCAGAGCTCTGCTTTTATTCAGTAAGATGCAGAATGACAATCATAATGTAATCAATTAGACTGGATAGCTCTTTGGGTGGCTCGGGCCCATCGTCCTGTAGGCCCACCACCTGCAGGGGGCAGTGCAGTGGGTGGGTTTAACATGTACTGAGTGGTGGTCAAAGGCAGAGGCCCTTCTTATCCAATTCTCAGTTATATGTGTGTCCTCAAAAAAGTGATTCATTTGCCTGAATAATAATAATAGTGGTCTAAGGAGCTTGGAAAGAAAAGCATGTGAGTGGGCGTTAAGGCGTCTGGGAAGGATCTCAATACTGGATTATAGATGGCAGACAGTTGGTGTCGTAAACCACCGCCACTGTTCAAAGATGGTCGCTCACAGTGGACAGAAATGGCTTCTTTCACTCCTCTTTCAAACCATCTGTCCTCTCTGTCCGTGTGTACATTGGCATCCTCGAGGATGCCAATGTACACACGGCTTATGACACCAACTCTCTGCCATCTATAATCCAGTTTTGAGATCCTTCCCAGACGCCTTAACGCCCACTCACATCCTGGGCCATCTGACCTCAGGAAATCACATGATAGGGTGGGGCCAGGTTTCACATTGAGCTCACCTGAAACCCTGGCTGATTGTGACCCACACCCGTTTTCACACCTTGGCTCATGTGATTAGGTAGAGGATCATCAGGGGGTCCTTCGTCCGTCTTTGGGGGGAAACTCCCACCGGGTTTAAATCTGGGACTCTCCACCATTTGATCCTAGAACTGAAGAAGCTTCTCGGATGAGAAGTGAAACGTCTTCAAGCAACTTAAAGAAGTCCAGACGCTTTTTTTCCCAAGTTTCTTAGACTATGATGACCTGGATGACTGAGAACCTTCACAAACAATAATAATAATAATAATAATAGTGAATACACAACAAGGTCTTCACACTGTGAATGCTCAGGCCCTCGTTACTAAATGTATCTGTGTTTTAGGTGATCATCAGAAAAATCATACATTATCATAGAAATGCCAAAAAATGTCTTAGTGTGGAAATGATATATTTTCTTTATAAATGTTGGCTTTTTTATCTTTAAGTTTTTAGAGAAAACATGATTTCAATTAGTTTTAATATTTAAAACAGCAACAGAAACATTAATATTTAATTTTTCTTTATGAATGTTTGAATTTTCCAGGTTGCAACAATGGCAGCTGTTAAAGATCTGCTTCTAGAAACACTGGAGGATTTGAGTCATCAGGGTCTCAAGGAGTTCATGTGGTTCCTGCAGTTCACATGTTTTCAGAGGGGCCTTCCACAATTCCCACCGAGTACAAACAGAAAATATATAGTGAACACGATGGTGCAAACATGTGGCCAACAGTCTGTGGAGGTAACCATTGATGTTTTCAGGGACATGCAGAGAACTGATCTGGTGCAGAGGCTGTCAGAGAGCAGCTCAGGACTCAAAGGTAAGAGAATAATTATCCCCAATAAAAAAATGTATCAAGAGTTGATTCAAAATCTTTGAACCAAGTCACAAAAACTGAACAATGGAAGCTCTTTTGTCTTCCTGAAAGAAGGCAGGAGGATTTTCTTCACTGAAGTGTTTAATAATAGATATTGTTAAATAAAAGCCGGCACCTTTCTAACTTTGCCAGCATCGGCTTTAAAATCTGTACCTGATCCTGAGAGTTGTTGTTGTGGCGGCTGAAAAGCTGCAGCCGTGTGTGTTTGTAACAGCAACCAAGTGTAAGTATGAATAAAGATTGTGCTGAAAAGCATTAAACTGTGGACGAGTCTGCTGTGGAGCTGCTACACTTTCTTTTCTCATGGTAACCATGATATTGTAATATTTCTCCCAGAGAAACTTTGTGGATGAATGCTGGGCTGCGCTGAGCCAGAGAGTGAGTAATATCACCTATGACTGTATTTAAATGATGCAGCATTCACTGAACATGTTCAGTTTAAAAATCTCAAATGTAGAAAAGATAAACAGAAAGATTAAATTCATCAGGTTGGAATAAATGTTAGTCAGGTGTGTAATTATCACTTACATCATTTGCTTGTAACTGTGTCTGGTGTAATCTAAACATTTATGAGACGTTGATGAGATGGAAAAAAAACCTGGAGAAAAGTCGCATTTACCTTTTTTTTTTCTCAGGTAGAAACGTTGGCGTCTGTTATTGAGCAGATTTTGGAAACCCTGGCTGGTCTGAGTTACTGGGAACTTGAGGTTTTCAAGGAAGTCCTGCATAAACTTCATTACAAACATTAGTCAGACATCCAAAGAATCATCTACACGAGGACAGACCTGCAGGACACGGTGTTTTTCATGGTCCTGACTTACGGTGAGCGGTCAGTGGAGGAGACCATGGAGGGTTTAAACGAGATGAAGGGGGCTGATCTGGCTCAGAGGCCGTCAGACTGCAGCCCAGAACCCAAAAGTAAGACAACAAAGAGGAAATAAGTTAAATGAACTCTGGTGGTTAAGATGTCTCATAAGTAAAGTTTTTGTCTTTCATAAAAAATATTGTAGAGAAAAGACAGATTGTTGTCCAAATCAGAATTTATGAGTGTTCAAGGAACAAAAAAATGACAAAAAGTGACTCCTTCAGTCTGAGAGACTGAATAACACAAACAGTGTCTATCATAGTTGAGCTTTAAATGTAATGTTGAAGATTATACAACTGTCAGTTGGTAAGTACGTCTCTTG